GCCCCCCAGCTGCTCTTTCCCAGGCATCCAGATTCAGCCGCTGTTGAAACTGATCAGCGGCTGATTCCAGGAAGCCTGGGGCAGAGCAGCTCTTCCTCGGGGTCCTATTCAGCTGCTGCTGGTCAGTTTCAACAGCGACTGAATCTGGACGCCTGGGACAGAGCAGCCGGGGCGCTGCCGGGTTGGTACTGATCAGCGGCCTATTCCAGGAAGCCCGGGGCAAAGCAGCTTTGCCTCGGGCTTCTTGTAGTCAGCCGCTGGTCAGCAGCGGCTGAATCGGGGACACCTGGGGTACAATATGTACCAGTTCCGACTTACATTCAACTTAAGAACAAACCTACAGTCCCTATCTTGTACGTAACCCGGGGACTGCCTGTACTCACCTGGGATGTGGAAGATCCTTGTTTGAAGTCTTCCCTTTGCCTAATGAGGATAAAGATGGCAGATCCCCTGTTCAGATCCTGTCAGGGGAATGTCCTAACCACTCCACTGTGGGATATTTTGGTGTCTGTCTCACTCAGTCTTGCTTGTAGGTGCTGTTCCAATTGTGGATGAATAACTGTTGATTGGATTAGACAATTGGAAATTGAGTGACTGTGTTGCCTATTGGTTAGGGCACTCACTTAGGAAATGAGAGCCAGGGTCCAGTTCTCCTACTCCAGTGATACTTGTATGATTTATCCACAATGGAACAGTTTCAGTGGAAGAGACTAAGGGACCCCCATCTCAGAATATTCCATCACACAGTGTTTAGGGCACTCTCCGGCAGACCCCCCAGTCAAATCTTTGGGCAGAATAGGGACTTGAATTGGTGTCTCCCACATCCCAAAAAATTGAGAGGGAGTTACTCCTGTCTCAATCCCCACTCCCATAAATTTTGTAAAGCGTTAGGTGGTCTTGAACATGTCCACTAGATTAGGGGCTACATGTCAGGTAGATGAACAACTGTCTTCCCCTGGTTCATGAATCATTTGGCGGTTAGGCAGGAGATACGCATCAGGAGGCCCATTTGCCTACTCAGAGACAAAAGCTTAGGCATCTAGGCTATGTGTACACAGCAACATTATTTCAAAATAACTACTGTTATTTCGAAATAGCATAGTCCACATCTACACAGCCGGCAGTTATTTTGACATAATGTCGAAATACTGTCAAGTTGGAGGACTCATACTCTGACTCCTGTAACCCACATTGTACGAGGAGTAAGGGAAGTCAGAGGAAGAGTGCTCTGTTTCAAAATGAGTGCTCTGTAGACAGCACCAAAACTTGAAATAAGCAGTTTCAAAATAAGCTGCGCAATTGACGTAGCTCAGTTTGCATATTTTATTTTGAGTTAAGCCCTGCTGTATAGACGCGTCCCTAGTGAACTTTTTCTGCAAAAGTTTAGGTGCCAAACAAGTTCAGGTTTCTATAGAGTTAGGTTGGAACCCAGAGAGTTTTGTGAATTGTAGTGGTGCATAAAAATGGGATTAGAGTGTCTAAATCTGGGGATTAGCTTTCCAGTATCTTGATGAATCTTGCTCAGAGGGACTTGCCACACGAGAAGTTTATGGTGGAGAGAGGGATGGAAACCAGGTCCCAGACTAGTTCCCTGCCCATTGGGCCATCTTCCCCTATATTTAGTTACAATTGAGAGTCTCTCCTTTGGAAATAATTTGGAAATATAATTTCTAAAGCCAGACTGGCAATTATTCTTGGAGCTGATCTGAACAAAGATAGAATGTGTGCTTATGGATGTGGCTTGGCACTAACCTAATCTATGTATATGTACTTAAACCACCATATTAAAAAAAAAAGAAAGGTTAAGACTTGTTTTTCTATGCATGTCATGAGTATCTGGGGGCTTTTGATCAGTGTGTAATGTGCGATTACACTCAGAAATACTACACATTGTGGAAGTGGAGTCTAGTTACATGCAATATAGATTATTTTGTGTTTTGTCTTGTCTTGCAGGCATGCCGCTTATGGAAGACTTAGATGTATGCTCATCAAAATTTAGTTTTTTACGAGCAGAAAGTGAGATAAAGCGACAAAAAGGTCGCATGCTATGTGATGTGTTATTGGATCAGGGAGTATTACCTGGAGTTGGAAATATCATAAAAAATGAAGCACTCTTTGACAGTGGTCTCCATCCTGTTGTTAAAGTACGTGAAGTATTTCCAGGGACTCCTTCTATATTCTTGTATTGTAAGCAGCTATTAAGAACATAAACATGTGTCTACAAGACAATTGGTCTAGTTTAGATATTTGTAAGGAGGAGCTTGTAAGGTCTCCATATTTTTCCCCCCTGCACTTACCCTAATTATTTCCATCTCGGATGCCAGTGATCCCTACTGTCATGTTTGACCAGACCTGGGTAAAATATCTTCTGTGGTCCGGATCTGGCGGTGCGCCCCCTTTTTCCCCCTGTATACTTGGCACCCCGCATGCTTCTGAATGAAGCTGCTGCTGGGTTCTGTTTGAACAGCTGTGAGTTTTCACACATTGCTCCTGTCCCCAGCACAATCCTGTTGGCCGATTTTTGGCCAATGGGAGCTGCCTGTTGTCAACAGGCCGTTTCAGAAGCACCTTCCCCTCAGGTTTGTAGCTGTTCAAAAACCAAATGGCCCCTGCAGCAAGTATGGAGGTAGGGCAGGCAGAGGGGTCTGCTCGAGAGAGCTGCTGGCTAGGAGTCAAGCAGGCAAGTCTGCCAGTCAGAGCCGGATTCTGGCCCCTCAACCCTTTGCCCTGCTACCCCTCAGAACCCAGTGTGCCCCCATACCCCCTCCCAGGTCTTGCACCCCAAACCCTCTGCTGCATGTCACAACCCAAACTCTCTGCCCCCTTTTGCCTCTCCCAGATCCTGCACCCCAACCCCTGCCCCGTGTCACAATCCAAACCCCTGCACCACCTCCTGCATTCCAGTCCCCTGCCCCAAGTCACGGTCCCTCTTCCCCTAAGTCAGTGGTTCCCAACCTTTTTGATTCCGGGGACCAACAGACCCATTTTGGCACATCAGCAACATTTTATTTGCATATTTGACTATTCATTATGCAAATAAAGCATTGCCAATCCACCAAAAGCACAGCCCCCAGTACAGCCCCCCCCCCCA